GCCATTCCATTCGATTCAAAGTGCATCACACAAACTCGCAGAGTCTGCAAGTGTGAAATGTATTCGACTGATGATGATCTCCTCTTTGGTCCGTCTTGAAGAAACACACGGTTACTATGAACATTGAGTCGGCACGAATTGGATGGCGTCAAAAGTGGGTGTGAAGATGAGCCGAGTTGATTCGCTCACATTAACTGTCCTCCGTCATTGGTACCTGAAAAACCCTGAACAAGCAATAAATAGCCCAAAGCCAGGTTGTATCGTGTGGCGGACGAAGCTGGAAAAATGCCAGATTAAAGGTACCAAAGTCAGACATGGACACAATTGCCCGAAGCGGACCAGTGGACAAAACGAACCGGAAGAACGCGTTTTTCGCAAAATCTGGCATCCGGAGATTAAATTCGCTCAAATGTCAAGCATAAAAAGCCGTTCGGAAATGTTGACAACGTACATACACCCTCTTTCGCATGTCGTTTTGGGCTCTGACGTGCAAATGGCACGTTTTAGTCCGATTTGAAGGTCCGCTTTTGCAACCCTTCCTCTTGGGCTTCTTTAAGGGTCTTATGATATTTTGACTACTCGCATCGTGTTTAAGTAGCATCGTCGATTTTCCTGCAATCCCGTGCTTCCTATAAATTTACTTTGGGCGAGGTCTGGCTTGCCGTGAATGTCGCTTCTGCTCTGCGACCCTCTGGCAGCCGTGACTGTGTACAGGAGGGTCAACCTCGTCACGGTTTTCACGATTATTTGTCGAATCCAACAGTCCCGACCAACCCAGTCGAGTCTGCAAAGTGTTAAATTTATTCTTCCAGATTTGACTGCGCCATAATCACAACTTATTTTTCACATTGGTCAATTTTCAATTTCAGGAAAGCATATCCTTAACAGGATGATGAGTCTTAAAAATTTATAAAAACACAAAATTTTAAATAAATATCAAACATGTTTGCATAATTTTTAAAGTTTACCAAATAGCTTAATTTAATTTGATTTAGATGTCAAAATCAAGATGGTGCAGCTTCAATTCTAGCAGTATTTCTAACTTTGTCTTGGCAACTTGGCCATGCCAAAGTCAGACCGGCCCCGAAGGACACATGCCAGTGTTCTCATGTCATCTTTCTAGATCGGACCGAGGGGGGGTGTACATTTGTGGACATTTCGAGACATCCGATAAAGGGAGGAGTGAAATCCATCCCTTGACCAATTCACTTATGAACTTGGATGGCACCCATTTTTAGTAGACTTTTCCTTTATCCCGTACAGAACTCATCCAAAATCTTCAGTCCCAGGTTGAAATAATATTAATAATAATAATAATAATCATCATCATCATCATCATCATGCCCTTGGAACTAGTGAATATGAAGTTGTGGGAAACGCAACTAATAGCATTAAAAGTAAGACAAAATGGACGATTTGCGAGGTCATTCCACGATGCATGACCAGAAATGTATTTCTGGAACAGGCAGCAGAAGAGTAGAAGAAGCAATACATGTTGAAACCTGGTCGTGGATTGCAGAAGACAATAGGGAGTTGGAAGTTGAAACCAGCTGTGAGCTGACTGCGCGACTATGACTGGTATCAATAAAATATAAGGTACTGACATGCAGGAGACTGTTGTGCCGATCAGGAAATGGTAGAGAATCCTCTTTGAAACTACGTACCCAGGCAACATGAGGAGTAGCTAGACGCATATTTGGTGTGAGGAAAAGCGAAATCAGGACACGAATGAAAGATTCTGCAGAAACGCGGATGTAAAGAGGTCAGAGGTATGCGAGCAAATTGCAATGACAGAACATTCGACTGGCTGTATGTGATGAAAACAGAAGGAAACTGAATGACGAGCGGTTTGAAGGAGGACACAATCAACTGAAAATGTGCAGGTAGATTGGCAACAACCTTAAACGTGAAGAAGTGGGATTGCAAGGAAGAGAAGACTTAAGGGGCATTAGTTTAGTTCGCCCTAAAACGCCAAACAAGTTCAGACAAAGAGGCTGAAACGGTTTAACTAAATTACTTTAATCAATTTCAAAAATATTATTTGGTGTTATTTAATATAATTTAATTTTACGTAGGGGCAACAAGATTGTATAATATTATTATCCAATGAATAAAGTAATATATGAATTATCATTATATTATAGTTCAATACCTTTTCTAACACGCTAAAATGGGCTGAACTAATTGAAACTAACCTATTTATTGGTTTGGACTTTATTTTTTTAGTTAACTAAATTACCTTAATAAATTTCAAAAATATTATTTGGTGTTATTTAATT